GGCCCCACAGAGATCTTTGAGCCAAGTGAAAATGTTTAATGTGTGTATTCATATGTGTATATGATATTTGGAATAGTTTTTGGCCACTCTTGTGTGATTTGTGCATTTTGGGGATTTAGGGTCCATTTTAGAAAATGGTACCCGAGTGGTCAAATTTTGGTATAAAGAGTTTTTCTACCATTTAAATGTTCTATTAGGTGTTTTTAGTCCTATTTTGATGTGTCCAAAGTGTTCCCACAAGTTTGTGACCATTAGAATGAGATTTGGACAATTTTGAAAATGGTTTTTACCAAAAACCTGCACTTTTGCATCTGGGTGTCTAAATCTTAATCCAACCGTTGGATTTCTCTAAAATTTGGGTCACAAGTAAAACCTTTTATAAGCTTCATGTGGGCTTTGGAATCATGTCAATCGGATATCGGACAGAGAAACGATGCACTCCAGAATTTAGTCTAGAGGAGCTGTCATGACAGCATGCTGTCATGACAGCAATAATTGATAATGTTGCAACGTACACGAAATTTAATCCGTCTGTTGGATCTTTCAAAATTTGGTATGCTAATAGTACTATTTAAAAGTGACATGTGAAATTTAGAATCGCTCTGATCGAAGGTCGGATGATGAAATGGTGCACCTCAAAAGTTAGTCCGGAGGTGCTGTCATGACAGCTTTTTAGCTCTCATGATAGCAAAAATAGCCAATCTTTCAACATGTCTAATTTTTAATCCGACCGTTGGATCTTTTTAAAATTTGGTACACTTATAGTACCCTTTGAATATCACATGTGAGCTTTAAAATCACTTTGATCGGAGGTCGAATGATGGAATGGCGCCTCCTAAAAGTTGGCCCAGGAGGGCTGTCATGACAGCAATAAATTACTGTCATAACAGCATCTTTTTATTCTACTTTCATCTAACTTGCTTCCGTATGCTATAGGTAAAACCTATAAATTTTTTTAAGGATTTAAATAATTTATTTCTTAAGTTGGTTAGAGGATCAACTCTTTAACACACTTAATTTATTTGAATTATGTGATTTTTGGATAACACTTAGGGCAAGTGTTTCAGATTTCTTGTCTAAATCCTATAGTTAAGATAAGTTTGGAGTGTTATATTTATAGCCCATAGAATGAAATAGGTGTTAGAGACATATTATGACCGTTTATAGTCATTGCATAGTAATTACAGCCATTAGTAATGTTTCTCGTGTGGCACAAAACTCATTCACACGTGAAATGGACATTTCACAAGAATAGTTGAAAAATCTTGCTTGAAACATGACAAATCATGCTTTAAATGTCATGTGATATTACATAGGTGACAAATCACGCGTGGACAAAAAGTGAGTCATGCTTTATTTGAACCACAAAGTGAAAATAAGGTTTCTGGGTGATGTTTTACGTGTGTATAGGAAGTAATTCATGTGTGACTTCCATTTAGTCAAAAACAATGTTTTTGGGTGATATTTTATGCGTGTATATGAAGTAACTCATGCGTGATTTGGACACTGAAGCTTTTTAAGGACGAATCACGCATGTGTGTAAGTTTTAATCATGCGTGTTTTGGAGGGTGCTACTATGTATAAATTCATAAGGATGTAACTCACTCAATACAAGTTCAAATCTAACAAATTATATATCGTTGGAAAGCTCTTAAAGTCTAGTTTTTAATGAAAAATTTTTACCCTCAAATTCAATGTAAAGTTTTAGATATAAGCAAAAGAGTAAATGATAATCAACTCTAAATAGAGTGCAAAAATAATATCTCAACACTCAAATTCTAAAATTCATATCTTTCTCAATAAAATGCCATTTTGAATAAATAAACTATCATTGAAAAGATGTTAGAGTCTATTTTCAAATGAAAAATTTTCACATTAAAATGATTTATGTAGTGAGAGATGTAATAAGAAACATGTCTAAAGGTCAAATCTAATTTTTTGCACAATTCTCATTTCAAAACTTAATTTCAAGTGTTCATGACTTTTTTAACTTAACTCCATTTTGAGTAAATATGAAAAATTTCAAAACTTTATGAAATTAGTAATCAAAACATTTCAAATTTTGTGAGATATATGTGATCAAGGATGAAAAAATGTGATTATAGAAAATTATATCTCACACTTTCTCTTAATAGCTAAATTGCATATTTTGATTTAAAATATTTTGAGCCAATATTTCATATCTAAATCAATGAGTTTAACATAAAGACTTTTAGCCTACTGATATTATACCTATGAAATCTAAGGCTTCCAAGGTGCATCCAAGCTTATATGAATGTTTTCATTCTTCTTAAACTCTTTTTGGATCATCTTTTTCTTTATATTCTCCCATCTTGAGTGTGGCATCCATGCTAATCATGATTTTTATTTCTTTCTCTTCATAGTCACTCTCATCTTCACTTCAGGCAACCCTAAATGATATATTATAAATAAAGTGGTTAGTTTAAATATCAACATGTATATGTTCAAGTTATGAAATATGATACTATGAACACTCTTGGGTATAGAATCAATTTAAGATAAGGAAAAATATGATAGTATAAAATAACTTTGATGTACACAAATCATTTTTGCAAATTTCATATAATATGAAATGATACAAGTAAAAATACTTTAAAGTATGGAACAATATGAGTAATAATACTTTAAAGCATTTGTTTCATAGTTACAGTTAACTATTATATATATATATATATATGAAAATAATTAGACATAAGTATAGTTAACTCATCAATATTTGTCATTATCAAAACTTAAGTTAAACATAATGTCACAAGCCATTATGTCCAACACTGTACACCCAACTCTGTTCATGAATTAATTTACATGAAAATTTTTAAGAGTGCTAGGTTTGGGTAGTTGAAAGTTCACAGTTAATCTCAAATACAAATAGAGATAAACAAAGTTTAAATGAGAACACAAATTTCACTTAGTTTTAGATAGCATTAAGAAGAGAAGAAGCAACTTACAACAAGAGAAAAACCAAAACCATGCTCGCTCAGACAAAATGGAAGCTTTGACACATAATGCGTACCTAGTCATCACTCAAGTCATCAACACTTTGAAGTAGCTCGAAACTCGTCATTAAAGACTTATCGATCACAAGTCATTTGATTAGGGCACCATGCGAAGAGATAGGGTTTTCTTTCTCAAAACTCATCGCTTACAACTTGCATCGCCATTGATAGTCCATTGGAAATGTCCCTTGCCGTCTTCTCTTGTTCAAATCACGTGAAGAAACTAAGCAAAGGGTGGGTCTTCATTTTCAAATTCCTTTGTTAAGATAGGGGCATTTTGGTCTAACCAGAATTTGTTAAATGAATAAAATGTTAAGTTTGATCATTCAAAAACATTTGGTTCTTTGGACTAATTTCCTTTCCAAATTGGTCATTTTCACCCATTTTCCCAAGAATAAAACTATATATAGAATTTTAATTATTTTGTACCATATCTTTTCTCAAACAATAAATTTACAATTGAGATTTTAGGAAATCCATTATCAAACAAAAAAATTTATGCCTTTAATATTTGACATTTGTTGATCACAAAAAATATAGTGCCCTCTAGTTTCTAGGGTAATTTTTGGCAAAATTAAAGGTTATTAAATATACTTTATATTTTTTTTTCAAAATACAAATATAGATTTATAAAATACTCTTCATTGAATAAAATAATATTTGTGAAATATTATATATATATATATATATAGAAAGAAAATATTATAAAGAAGAAAAAGTGATATTAGAACCAAGTATAATTAAGGAACCTGATATGTGGTAAAGTGCTTTATAATTACCTCTAAGAGTATCTTATAAATTAAAATAGAGAGAATATAAGAAATTTGTGTTATATTTAGCCCGAAATTATTTCTTAAAAAAATGACAATTAAAGATCCCTTAAGGACATTAATCCTAATTAAGAATCATAAAATTTTGAAATCCCAATTATGGTCTTTAATTGAGATAAAAAATATAGTTTGTCTTAAATGTCCTTGAGAAAAAAAAAACTCAATTATGTTGAAATCTCAATTATGTTGTTTTCACAATATATGTGGCAATTTTTCCATGTTGAGTTAGTGACTCACATTAGTGGATCCTGATTTGGATGTCATTTTTTCTTAAATAATCGATCCCCAAGTGAGGTTTTCTATTTTTACAATATACGATAGCAATTTTTTCATGCAACATTAGTATATCCATAAGTGGTCTTACCTATAAACTGACAAGCATCTCAAGGATATTTAAGACAAATTGCATTTTTTTTATCCCAATTAAAGTGGGATTTCAAAATTTTATGATTTTTAATTAGGATTAATGTCCTTAAGGGGTTTTTAATTTCATTTTCTCTATTTCTTATTTGTTAACAAAGCCTATAAATAAGTAGGTTGAGTCCAAAAGCCTATTTATCTTAAAATTAATCAATTTTTTTCAAATCCAGCTCTTATTGATTGGGTTCAAGACTTGGGCTTTTTTTTTTTAAAAAAAATTAAAACTTAATTTTCATATTATATATTATTTTTTCTAAAATGGAAATTATAATGTTAAAAAATTTAAAAAAAAATAATTCAAATTTAAATTTTAAAAGATAAAAAAATAGTCTAATGTCTGAATTTAATTTAAAAATGAAAAAATATCTTACTTTTTAATATTAAAACAAAAAATGGGCATAAATGTTGATATTGAAAAATTTAAATTTTATTGGGTATTACTTTTAATCTTTATAATTTTTTTTCATTGTTTTCAATATTTATAATTTTTATAATTTAACATTGTTAGAAATATAAAAACAAACATCTTCCAATTTTATTAAAATTATACGAACTAAAAATACTAAAAAATATAATAATTAAAAATAAAATTTAATAAAATCATAAAAAATAATGAATATTTATCGAAAATGAATATAATTTTAAAAGGCAGCGGACGATATATCTTTAATGTATGTATAAATATGACTTTTTTTTTTCATTAAAAAATATGACTATGAATGATGAATATTATACAATCTCATGACTTTTTGATCTAATCCGAAGCTCATTGTCTCCCACCAACACCACCGCCACCGCCACCGCCACCACCGATACCTATCTTTTCTGCTACTGCTCAACGCTGAGCCTATAATTAGAGGAGGAGAACGAACAATTGTATCTAGAGAAGCCGATTTTCTGAAGCTCAAGAGCCCCGAAAATGGCAGGTAATTTCACAAACTACACTAATTTCTTCGGTTCGATCATGGGCTTTGTTAAATGTCAATATCTGTATGTATTTATGTGTTTATGCATCTGTATCTTGAAGAGAGGTAAGTCTTTTTTATTGTCCCCTTGATAAGCCAGAGGTAAGTCTTTTACTGGCATGTATTTTGTGATAGTATTAAATTATTGAGAGATAAAATAGTTACAGTTGTAAAATATGACAGTTAGTGTTGTTCTGAACCATTTTTCACCGCTAAATTGTTGTTTAGATTTGATATCTTTTTCTTTTTCTTTTTTGGAGTTTATGCATTCAATTTCGTTATTAAAAGGAGGGAGAGGGCGCTTCTTTAGTTTGTTTGTTTGTACTTTGTATTGTACTTAAATGCTTGCTGCCCTCTTTTCTTGCGTTTATGGGTTTGATTTTGCCCTGATTTCTTCATTTCCTGAATGGAACTCAAATTGATTGTTTACCCAATTACAGATGATGAAGAGCCAATTATTGTAGGAAATACACTCGCTCAATCACCAATTAATAAATATAAGCGCTGGCAATGGTGGTCTTTGGTGGCACTTAACATAGTCTTTCTTCTTTTGGGACAATCGGTTGCTGTTCTTCTTGGAAGATTTTATTATGATCAAGGTGGAAATAGCAAATGGATGGCTACGTTGGTCCAAACTGCTGCCTTCCCATTTCTATTTCTTCCATTGTTTTTAATTCCTTCACCTCGGGAAGCTTCTACCTCTTTTCGACCTTCTATCAAAATTCTCGCCTTGATCTACGTTATTCTTGGAGTCTTAATAGCTGCTGACAATATGTTGTATTCTACTGGACTCCTATACCTTGCTGCTTCAACATATTCACTGATTTGTGCATCTCAGTTAGCTTTTAATGCTGTTTTCTCTTATTTTATCAATAGTCAGAAATTCACTGCCTTGATTATCAACTCTACGGTGGTCCTCTCTTTATCTGCTGCACTTATTGCTCTTAATGATGAATCAGAAGGTCCAGCTGGTATTTCCCATAGAAAATATATTATTGGTTTCCTTTGTACCCTTGGAGCCTCAGCATTGTACTCATTGTTGCTTTCCCTCATGCAACTCTCCTTTAAGAAAGTTCTGAAAAAGGAAACGTTTTATGTTGTTTTGGAAATGCAAATCTATACTTCACTTGTTGCCACTTGTGCTTCTGTTGTGGGTCTATTTGCAAGTGGGGAATGGAGAACTTTGCATGATGAAATGGAGGGCTTTGGTAAGGGAAGAGTGTCTTATGTAATGACTTTGGTTTGGACAGCTGTAGCTTGGCAGGTTTGTTCTGTTGGAGTTGTTGGCCTGATTTTCATGGTGTCTTCTCTGTTCTCCAATGTTATCAGTACTCTCTCTTTGGCTGTGACTCCCATTGCTTCTCTGATAGTGTTTCATGACAAGATGAATGGTGTGAAGATAATTGCTATGCTTATGTCTCTCTGGGGTTTTGCTACTTATATCTATCAGAATTATCTTGATGACTCTAAGTATAGAAGAATACAAGCTACTATTATTGGTAAATCAATTGGTGATGCTGTATGCTGAGATCACTATTACTTTGCTTGCTGTTATTCTGCTAGGGAACTTAAGATACCTTTTGCCAGTTTCCCCTTTTGACTTTGTATTCATGTAGAGCAACAAAGGATTTTACTTTTTTGTTTTTCATCTGTCCTTTAGTTTTGGCAGAACTTGTGACAGCTAGTATAGTTATGCCCATATTGTGGTTGACAATTTTTTGCTGATAAAACTCCTAATAAAAGCAGAGAATTGTCAGGTTCTTATTTGGGCACAGTATTCTCCATCTGATCTTCAACCATGGACACCACTATATTCTTTTTAAGTTCCTGATAATCATTGTAAGTTTCAGGATTTGAGTAATTTATTTATTTTTGACTGAGGAACCCCTCAGGTTACTTTTTATGACTTTTCAGGAAAGATGTGATTTCACCTGTTTCAATATATATATATATATATGTAAATTAATATATTTTAGTTGTGATGAAGTATTTTTGGTTGGTAGGAACTGTGTGCTTTTTTACAACTGACAGGCTTACAGCTGCACAGATGGGCTGTTAAATAAATCTAATATATACCTCTAAATCCTAGAGGAAGGTAAAATGTTCACAAACCATGATTAGATACGCTTCCTCCCTGGCTGCATTTTTCTCTATGATTTCCCCATTTATTTAATACTTTTTTTATTCCAGTGCTTCTCATCTCTTTTCTGTTTGTTCAAAATTCAAATTTAAAAACTGACAATATGATTCCAGCTAGCGACTCTCTTGAAAGGTTCTCTGTGAACTTTGCCTCCCTGTTTTTGGCAGCTGGGAGTGAAAGACGAAAGATGGAAAGCTCTCATTCCTGAATGTAAGTTAGAATGTTTTATTTGAAAGGTATATGTAGGAATTGGATCAGAATCGCGCACGTTTATTCCACTATTAGGGAGAAATATATACAAGTTACAGTTGACTGTACACCGAAATAATAAAGAAAATACTAAAAATAAAAAATAAAACACTCATTTATTCTCATCTACTTCCCCAATATAATTATATCCTTGAAAATCTGGAGTAAATAATTCTCAATTAATTTCTAAATAATTCTATATTACACTCCCCCTCAAGTTGAATCATAAATGCTAAGCATGTCTAACTTACTTATGCAGCTTTCAAAAGCAAGCTTATGTAACCCCTTGGTCAACACATCGGCTGCTTGGAGATTTGTTGATAGGAAGGTTAAGTAGATGATCCCATCTTCTACCTTCTCCTTAATAAAGTACCTATTGATTTCTACATGCTTTGATCTCTCATGCGGTACCGGATTTAGAGCCATACTTATGTGATAAGAAATATGGAAAATGCTACTTTAGAAGAAAATGATTGTAGCTGTGTTACTTTTCAATTACTTTTGTTTGTCATTTTCCTTTTCAGCAATTAGGAATATTTTACAATTTTATTTTGGCAAGTGGACAGAGGTTTCCTCATAGAGAAGGAAACCTCATGCCTATAAAAAGATTGATGAATTGTATTTGAGGCAGATGTGATGAATGAATTCATTTGAGATATTCTAAAACTCTCCCTCCAGTCTGTGTCCTCTCCTTCTCAGTTCCTCCTCCCTCTTTGTCTTATGCTTCCTCCTATCGTCTCTCTCTCTCTCTTTGTATTTTGTCTCTCCCCCCTCCCTGTTCTCATTCTCTCACTCTGTTTCTGTTGTACCTCTAGTTCAAATCAGTTTGAGCATGTGTGTATGTGTGTTTTGCATCAACTTGGTATCAGAGAAGGGCTCTGAATGCTCCTAGGCTATTTTCGCTGCTGGAGATCGGAGAAAACTTCATTGGGAAGCTTAGCATACTCTGTTTCACGCTGCTAGAGTCCAAAGCCACACTTCCCAATGTTAGATCCTAAAACGGATGCCACCATTGTGCTCAGGAGGGAAAATTCTATCAAAACCAAAAAATTGACCTCTGTTCGCTACCACATGTGCCGGTCACGTGCCGGAGGAGTCCCCTGCATGTGGTCTTCACGTGTAGCACGTGCTATCCCATGCGCCGTCCGTACAGTGTCACTAGAACCTAATTTACCTTAAGACATTTGATAGTAGTATTTGTATAACCTAGGACCCTTACCTCACACACAATTTGGCCTTATACTCGAGTCTAAGAAATTACCTTAGGTTAGTCGAAGTTTCTAATGGTTTTCCTAAGAGTTTTTTGAACCTTCAGAGATTACTATAAAGACTTCACTTGAATTGTTACCTATTTAGCATACGATCCCTGTGGAATTTTTGAATTCTCAGAGGATTAGCATTGTCAAAAAGGGACTTTACCTATTCAAGTGAGGGCAACTTGGGGGCTTTTTTTCTTAAGGTTACTAAATCCATCCCAAACTTATACTTTACTATACTACCTTTGTCATTGTATGACCATTCGTGATTTATATGATAAGCAAGCTTTATTATATTAAGAAATTACCACCCTAAAATTTGCCATGACCAATAACTCCCAAATCACCCAAAATTATCTTGAGGAATATGAAAGGGCTCAAAGGGCATATGTGGACCAATGGGTTGATGAAATTAAAGAATTCATGAACAATAAATTTGAAGAGATAATGGCTACAATTTAGTTAACATACAGACAAGATACAAGGAAAACAACTGAAGGGTTGCTTGAAAGACCTATCATTAGAGGAGAGTCAAGTCTTAGAAATGAGAAATTCCCAATCCATAATCAACCTAGAGGTAATTCCCTTAAGATTGGTCATTCTTCTAGAGCTATGGGTGAAAGACATAATAGACCATCTCTTCATGAGTGTACCAATCATTAGTCTGATGACATAGATGATACTTGGGATAGACAAGGGCTAGAAGAACAACATTATAGACCATACCAACTAGTCCATAGGAGTGGTAGAGAAAGCCTAAGAAGGACACATACTGATGACATCGCCAAGAAGGTTAAAGTTGAGGCTCTTGAATTTGATGGACGATTGAATCCTAGTACGTTCTTAGATTGGTTAGCCAACATGGAAGATTGTTTTAAATGGTATGACATGAGTGAGACTCAACGAGTTTGGTTTATAAAGATGAAACTCGTGGGATCTACTAGAAAGTACTAGCAAAATGTCTAAAGGAACATTGAGCGACAAGGTTATCCACCAATTGATATATGGGATGAAATGAAGGCCAAGTTGAAAGAAAAATATGTGCCTACTCATTATAAGAGTCAATTGTATGACAAATACCTCAATCTAAGACAAGTCTCCACAACTTTCGGGTATATATCTCGATTTGATGACCTTATGGTTAGGTGTGACGTGGATGAAGAAGAATGGCGCACCATTACCAAGTTTGTTAATGGACTTAAGCCATACATACTAAAAGAACTCAAGTCAACCTTTACATAGTCCCTTTAAGAAGCTTATCATAAGGCCTTAGAAGTAGAGTCTTTATCACAGTACTCGTCTGTCAAGTATACTGACATACAGAGCAATCAGTTTAGCCAAGCTCGAACTTCCAATTTGTCTGAGTGACTTATAGGAGTATCTACATCTAGTCCTAACTTTTCATTTGCACTTGCTCAAGCAACTGGGTTCGAGGGTAATACGTCTAAGCCTAGTAAGGCTATAATTCCTGCCCACCCTAATAATTCTTTTATTGAGTCTTTCGCTGTCACTCAAAGGGTCACATTATGTCGAAATGCCCACAGCGTACTCTAATTATTGACTCAATGTGAGGATGAGGAGGACAATACAAATGCTAACGTAGTCATAGATCTAGCTGAGTATCCTTCAGATGTCAATGAGGACATCATCATTGATGAACATGGATGTGAGACACGTTGAGTTGGAGTTATGCGATGTATTCTGTTTGTCTTCTTACCTAATGATTCATGGAAGTGAACGAGTATTTTCCATACTTTTGTAAAGTATGGAGACAAAGCTTGCAAGTTAGTGATTGATGGAGGGAGTTTTAGAAATGTCATTTCTAGTCAAGGAGTAACCCGACTCGGCCTCAAGACAAAAACTCACCTAGAGCCTTTTCATGTCGCATGGCTCGACAAATCTTCTTTACTAGTCACCCAACAGTGCCGTGTTCCTCTTCACTAAGGTGACTATAAAGAAGAGATTATTTGTGAGGTTCTTCCAATGGATGTTGCTTACATTTTACTTGGTCGGCCATGGCTTTATGACCATAATGTCATCAATCTTGGTTGTGAGAATACCTATTCATTTAAGCATGGAGGCAAGACGATCTTGTTACATCGTGCTAAGCCTGACAACGATGGCAAATACTCAAGTAAATCAAAAGGCACAAAACCCAAAACTCACAACTTGCATCTTTTGATAAAAAAAAAACAATTTATGCAAGAAAGCAGAGAAAATACAATTGTGTCTATTTTGGTATCCAAGATCTCACAAACGGATTGCCACTCTTTCAAAAATGCCAGAAAAGGTGCAACAGTTCTGACAACAATTCTAGGATATCACTCTAGATGAGCTTCCATTTGAATTACCACCAATGAGAGATATTCAACATGCAATTGATTTTATTCCAGGTTCACAACTCCCCAATCTATTGCACTACAGGGTGAGCCCTGAAGATAGAGCAAAACTTAACCGACAAGTCCATGGATTGTTGGAAAGGGGTTATATCTAGCACGGTATAAGTCCTTGTGCAGTACCTACTCTTTTAACCCTAATGAAAGACAGCTCTTGGAGAATGTGTGTAGACAACAGAGCCATCAACAAGATTACCATCAAGTATAGCTTTCCCATTCCTGGATTTGATGACATGCTTGATTTGTTGTCTGGATCTAGTTAGTTTTCAAAGATTGACCTTCGAAGTGGTTATCATCAGATCAGGATTAGACCTAGAGATGAATGGAAGACTGCCTTTAAAACATAAGATGAGTTGTTTGAATGGCTTGTCATGTCATTCAAGTTATCAAATGCCCCAAGTACTTTTATGAAAGTAATGACTCACCTTTGCTCATCCTTGGAAAAATTTCTTGTGGTATACTTTGATAACATACTAGTTTTTAGCAAGTCTAAAGAGAAACACTTCGAACATCTTGAGTTAATTTTGATGACATATTAATTAGTCATCATTCATGCAACATATAGGGTTTGAGTCTAATTTATATAATAAAACAATGTATAAATAATATAAAAATTGATATACTGAATAATAAAAAAGTAAATGTAAAATTTAATCCATTGAAAAAATTATATAAATAGACAATTTTGGATGGAAATATATTAAATAATAAAACTAATAAAAAGATATTATGAATCCTTAGTTTGTGTTAGTAAATTAATTGACCCCATGTACAAATAAAATATGATATGCTAATGAAGATTTCCTTGGAAAAGCAAACATTGAGAGCCAAAGTTCAAATGTAAATGCTTCCCCCTCCAAAC